ATCGTCTCTCTCTTCCTCTCCTCGGCTATGGCTTCTCTCTCCCTTCTCGGTCTCTCCCTCTGTCCACTCTCTCTCTCCCTCCTTCGTTACTCCGTGGTCGAGCTTCGCGGCTATGGCCGCAGTCTTCTCCTTCGTGGGGCTGCGCAACAACTTGACACGTACGTAACAGCCAAACTTGTATCGCTCATCTCTCTCTCTCTCTCTCTCACTTGTCTTCTTCTTCGTCGTGGTCTTCTCTGCAGGTGCGTGGTGGCTTCTCCAACCTCCAGGTCCGCTATGGCGGACTACTGCTCTCGGCGGCCACCTCTGCTATGGCGCATCCCTCCCTGTACGCGACGCAGCGCATGGAATAGCGGGTACCAGCTCCGATACCAATGCAATCAGACTCGCTTTCATTCACACTTTTCATGCATGTAAACAGTAGCACAACAAACTGGCGACATGCGGCCACTCAAAATTCAGAGATATCGCATCCAGATACGAGTTCACTTTCAACTGGCTATGGCGACTCAGCGCCCAACAGCTCACTGTTCACATACACCGGATCACCCTGAATATCCCACACGCGACTCTCTGAACTCACTCACACACACACGCACTCACTACACACTAACTCTAGCTATGGCGGCTATGGCCGCAACTACCCTATCGCTATGCTACGCTCCTTCTCTCTCGCCCACTTCAGCTCCGGCTCACTGCAGACCTCCTTGCACAAGTCACTGTGGCAGCGCTTCCGCATGGCTCACGCAGGAATGAATGAAAGGCTGGGCGTTGCCTCTTGATTTATACTTCTGAAACTCGTTGGTCTGCCCTCTTCCATCGGCCCATGGTGCTCACAGTCCCTTGTGGTACTTGCTGGACCGGACTGGGACTGACTGGATCTTACCGCTGACTGAGTGGGGACTCACTGCTAACCTACCGAAGTCGTACTGCAATTGCACTGCAGTTTAGTCCACCACTTGACTCGCCACTTGCCCACTTGCCCACTTGCTGTCCTTCTAGAAGGGCTACAGCTAAGACTTCTGGAACTCACTAAGACTTCTATCCTACAGATCTACAGATCGAACCCCTCTGCTACCTACGGACCTATGACAGCCTACCAACTGTTTACGAATACACAGGTCACAGGTTCAACTCTCGGGGTCCACACAGGTACTGTACACAGGTAGGGCAAGGTCTAGGGATCGAGCCCTGGGATCTGCATCTGCTACTGCAAAGAGGCAGCGCTTTTGTACTGTGTTGCAGTTCCCGAACTCTGACTTTTAGAAAGTGTAGGGGTCCCTGGCCTTTCTGGCCGCGCTTGTCTGCCACTTCCGGTAAGTACTGGACTTTCCTTGGATTCAGCTGCTATTTTGGGGGTTTGAACTTTTGTCGGGTGCTCAACTTCTGGTGAACCTACTAAAAACTTGTATGGACTGAGCCTACTGACTCTACAGCTACAATTGTACGACAGAGCCTACTGATTGGACTACGATACAGAGGACTTGGACTCTTGGGAATTTTCGGCCCGGGCCTCGGACTTGGGCGCAGAAATGTGGGAAACACTTTCAAAGTGGAAGAGAGGGGAAAGGGAGTGAAGGCCTCCATGGAGTGACAGCGCACCCAACAAGGTGTGCCGGAATCCAGTGAAAATCTGCATAGAACTGTGAGGTATCCATCCAAGAAGCACAGGACATATAGTGTGTTCTGGCTGCTCGATTATCCTACAGCATGAACTTTGGTGCTTCTAGACTGGTCTGTTGTTATTCTATCTTAGCCCTCTTCTTTGTCACATAGGGTATCAAGAAACTTGGTCTAAATCTCGCTGTCTTGACTGCATCACTGTTGCTCCCCAGAAAGCAGCCAATTCCTTCCTCTCTTTCTAGAAAGGATTGACATTGCTAACACAATCTGGTATGGTCCTGGACATGGACTTATGGTCGTGTAAAATTTGACTAACTGCCGAGCACATAATAAATCCAATAGGTAAGTACATTCATGTCACTTTTGAGTATCGAATAAGCAAAGAAAATGTGCGCCGGCAAAGAAACCAGGTGCCGAGTTCGAAAAAGCAATGAAAGTGTCAACGGCTGGTGTCAGGCTGGGTGTCATATTTACAGGGGCCGGCCGTGGTGTCGGATGGGAAAAGGAGAGAAAAGAAGAAGAAAAAAAATGCCCAACGGATACCATTCAACCCAAATTGCCGTTTTGAAGTTGGAGCCTGTTTTCTTTGCCGGCACGTGTTTTTTTTGCCTTTGCGAACTCAAAACCTGCCGCATTCACCGTTGTTTCTAAATCCAATTTCTCTGGCATTTGAACAACAACTTCTGCACTTGCAGTGGCAAACAGTACTCTCTAGGAGGGCATCAGGGCTGACATAAATGTGGGCTATGAGTTACTTGAGACACATTGACTTCAGACCCTGAAGGAAATTAGCGGGCAGATGCTTCATCCCCTCACGGCCCAGGTATGTTTTGTTTTGTCATAGGCTTTAGCAGTACGCATTGAGCCTCACTGCTCGACACCTTGACACACACACATTGAGTGATTACACGAAATCCACACTGGAGACCAGAGATGCACAAGTCCAGATCTGCGGAGCTTAGAAATTCCAACAAATTATCACATTAAACAGTTTCGAAGTCCCAGTCACCAAGCGCTCAACAGCGGCGAATTCAGCAACCCAATGCCAGCATCCTAAAGTAGGTGACTTCCCGGCCGGGCGAAGAGCCCAGCCTCATTGTCGGTGTGCAAGTTTGGCGACACACTGGTTGCCTCTTGGGCGGTGACTTCCAGGCCGCTCAGCCTTCCAAGCAACCGGCACCTCCTCCCTTTCGGAGGGAAACATCATTGCAGACTCTGATATTGCCCGTACGGGCCCTAGACTCAGACTGGTTGGACTGGTACCTGCCTAGACCTAGCCTACAACTACTGGGCCTCTCAAAATGCCACTTTTGTCTTCTTCTGCTCGGTCTCCAGTACCCGCACATCTACCTCTTTAGGGTGCGGTATCGGCATACCTGCTACTTGAGTGTTTTCCACCGCTGCAATCCTCAATGTCACGGCCACAGGTAAGTACCGGCCCTAAAGGCCCAACGAACGAACAGGTGCCCTTGCGGGTCACACACACACTCAAGCCAACCAGCACTCAGACAGACATGCAGACCAGCAAGCGTGCACACACACACAGACATCGAGACCAGCAAGCATGTACACACACAGACTTAGAGAACTTAGTAGCAAGCGGGAAACTCAGCAAGGCATTCCATCCATGAGCGAAACTCAGAAATCAACTGTGTCTCAGTCCGTGTTTGGTGGGGTCATCACACTACCCCCCATCAAGACCGACGTCCCTTCGAGCGAGTAACTCAGTCTGAGTCCCCGACAAACGCATCGTAAGCAAATATGGCAAAGAGATTTCGAGATTACTCTGTCGCAGTGAGCTTTGCAGAGATTTTGGGAACAACATTAGAGGCGATTTGTCGTTCGTAGGCTTTAACAGGGAGAGGTGTGCTGCACAGCAGGTCCTTCTTGGAGATCCAGTAGAGTTCGTCCAATGGGTGATACATAAAGTGAACCTGGTATTGTCGGTTGCGTCCCTTCCCTACGTGCTGTTTTATTCTATCGATCTCATGACCGCCATCGATTGCACGAGGAATCATGTCTTCACGGTAGTAGAAGGACTTAGCATCACGGTGGATATACAGTTTTGATGCATGAAAGACGGGGTATGTGCGCAGATGAGGTGGCGCAGCAACTGTGTACGAGGGGCCAAACCCATCCTTGCCAATCACATCCAGAACTTCCCATGGACCATAGTAGAGCGGAAGAAGTTTGCGTGAGACTCCCTCTTCCTCTGAGAATTCAGACATCTTGACCCAGACATAACTTCCTACTTCGATATCCAAAGGTTGGAGTTTCTTGTTCGCATGATGGATCATTGCGTGCTGTCGCTTGGTCATTGCTGCGATGACAACTTTGAGCAAGCGATCGTACTTTGCCCAAATGCCAGGCCTGCAAAGTGTTAAACCAGCTGACTGTTTAGGGAACAGGTAGGAGAGCGGATTTCAAATCTGCCAACCGTAATGCAGCCTGTTTGGCATCATGTCAGTGGAAGAATGAATGGAGTTGTTGTACAACCCCTTGACGGAATACAACTCTCCATCCCACGTCTCCTCATCCGAAATAATTAAAGCGCGAAGAAGTTGGAACACAGTCTGGTTGATTTCCTCAGCCAAACCATTGGCTTTG